GTCTGTATTCTGTCGAAACTGCCAGACGCGGATCGCGATTTCGATCTTTTTGGATCTCATCAGTGCGTCGCAGGCAGCTCCGACAGAACACAGACCAACTTTTACCTGCTGTCTTAACAGCGCGTTTTAGAAAATATCACAAATGGCGCGGTAAACGCCATCTGTAGTACGATGCTACATTTTGGATCCAAAAAGGTCGAAATCGCGATCCGCGTCTGGCAGTTTCGACAGAATAGAGACCGACCACTTCGAATTATTTTATTCGATTATGATAACGTGCCTATCACGTTGAGGTTAGCTACGCTGGGATTCGTTTCAGCAAGTAGATAGCCATATATTTAAATGGACCTTGTTGGAGCATACGTAATCCTAAAATGTAGCATCGTACTACAGATGGCGTTTACGGCGCCATTTGTGGTATTTTCTATAACAAATTTACCAAAAAGCAACAGTTAAATTTGATGTTGTTTTTTTATTTCTACACGAGTCTGTTTTAGTGTCAGTTTTCAGGATCAATAAACTCTTAGAGGTTAGTAGATATTCTGTAAACACTGTCAAACCGTATGGATCTCATTAGCACGCCGTATACAGCTTCAACATAACACCGATCAACCTATTTAGGGTCATTTTTAAACTGTTCAATGAAGAGAGCACAGTCTTTAGCAATTTCATACAAAATTACTTGTTCTGTTCATCCCGTTGGCGAGTTGTATTTCTTTATTAGAGTCCTTTTAAATATCCCTAGCGTATGATGAATCTCATTTCTTTCAAAAATTGAACAACCCAAACCTTTCAACATTTCCTTTGAGCTTTTAGTTATTGAATCAAACTTTTTCCTTTATTAAACTAAAGCATTTTCTGTCAAAATTAACTTATGTCGGGAAAGGAAAATAAAAAAAAAACATTGATTTCTTAGCAACATTAGTTTGCACTCTGCTATCTGCTACAGCTTAGGACAAAGTTAGAATAAAGTTTTCTTTGTCTCTCTGTAAAACTTTTTCTCAAAGTGAAAAGTTGTTCATTAACGACAGGATTAACCTGGGATATCTAGTTGTGCGAAAGTCGCTTTTGGTCCTATCCAAATCAATGTACAAGTACAGAAAGTGGCGCTAAGAGGCCATGCACACTATCGCATGTCCTGTGGAAATACGAGAAAGTTCCTTAAGCTACCTAAACAACGTTTCTTCGATTACTTACAAATAACATTACATTGTCGCTTGCACTTACAAGTTTTCTTTCTTAACTAAATTTAACACTTTTACTTGATTCAGTCTTTGTAAAAAAAATTAAAGCTCAAAAGTTCTAGCTACACATGAAAAGTCAAATTTAAAGATGCTACAAAAATTTCTGATAACATTTAATAGCAATAAAGAAAACGATACAAAAAAGGAAGAAGGCGTACATAGGATTTGTTGATTTAGAAAAAGCTTTTGACAATGTTAAATGGGACAAGATGTTAAATATGCTTAAAATGTAGGGACGAATTACGAGGGCGAATAAGTACCCGTGTTTGAAGACAGAGGACGTTCCTGAGGGAAATTGGTACTGACATCGTGTGCTGCCATCTATCAAACCACGTCAAAACGAATTTCAGACTGATTGATAGGTTAGTTAGGATTTGGCAGCCATTCCACTCAGACGTGTTTCGTTATTTTCGCTAACATGGAAAAAGAGCAGTATCGTTCGGTAACTCGCTTTTTGTTTTTGGATGGGAAGAAATGCGAGGAGATGAAAACAAAGTTGGATACTGTTTATGGAGACATTTCTTCATCTACGACCACAGTTAGATATTGCTTCAACGAATTTAAACGTGGGCAAAGATCCGTTTTTGACAGGAGCGACCAGGAAGCCTGGCAAATGTTGTTACCGAGGAAATAATTTCACGGATTTTTTAGGAAAAGGATGACAAAAAATTGAAGGAGACACGGGCGCATTTGACGAAAAAGAAGATGCATTTCCAACACGATAACGCACCGGCACATTCATCAGGAGTTGTTGCCGCCAAAATGCATGAATTACGTTATGAATTCGCTGCCGCACACCCCGATGACTTCATCTTGTTCCCTAGCATGAAGAAATGACTACCTAGAAAGAAATTTAGCTCAAACAAGGAAGTCATCGCCGAGACAGGGGGGATTTTTGGAGAGTTCGACAAATCTTATTTTTTGGAGGGGTAAAAAAAATGGCAGGGTCGTTGGGAGAAGTGTATCTTTCTAAAAGAGGACTATGTTGAAAAATAAAAAAAAAAAAACTTAAAAACAAAAGTGTTTTCATTTCTAACACGGGTACTTATTGAACCGTCCTCGTAGAAAGATAGAAGAGTTTGTCAATAGAAAACATAATTTTTCTGGCAATTCTCAATACGTACCAATATTATGCTCTCCCATGCCATCCATCGAATAGGTAAAGGTACCGAGTCGAAAAAACAGCAGTAATCACCGATGTATAAGTGTCGGCTGCTTCCCATGTCGGACACTTTAATTGAGTATCGTTTTCCAACGAGGCAGTTTCTGAAACGAGGGTATAGAAAGAGAGGGAGTTTGTAATTAAGTTGAAGGCTCAAAATTTACTGCCGAACTGTTTACGCTTAATCGAATTAAATCTACTTCCGGCAATAAAGAACGGCTATTTTTCAATAAAGCGGTGGAAATAATTATTTGCAAACGGGTATATTACTGCCAATTAAAACGAAAACGATTGCGATAAAAAATCCCTGCTTCATCGAAAGTGTTTTGCAACAACATGATATATTGCCACGTTTCTATCTGCTTGAGAGCAAAACCGTGTATCAAAATCATGTAGAAATCAATATTCGAATTTGTCTTTATTTCAAATGCCACATCGTAGCTAAAACAAAAAGGAATATTGAATTATTATACATATTTTCTTTTATCGCTTCGTATTTGTTTATTCTTCCTGAATAATAGTTAAATGTTTAAACAAAGGGAGTATATAATCCCGAGATAAAAATGTTCAGTCTCTCAGTGTCTCTGAAAGCGAGACTCGAGTCTCCGTCTCTCATCGAGTCTCTCTGGTGTCGCTGAGAGAGACTGTCGAGAAACTGTCAAAAAAACTGTTTGGCGTCTCTGAACGAGAGACTCGAGTCGCTTATAGAGAAATCCTCATTTCGTATCCAGTCTCTGAACGAGAGACTCGAATCTCTCAATAAGTGGTGTCTCGATAGACATGGTTAGAAATTTCTAAGTTCAACATATTTCAGAGATCCCAGTCTTTCTACGAGAGACTCGAGTCTCTCAATTTTTCAGTTGTATTCATTCAGTCTCTCTGTGAGAGACTCGAATCTCTGAATTAACAATTTTATCGTTCGAGTCTCTCATACAGAGACTGTGAGAGATCCATAAAAACACCTAGGCAATAACTGAGAGACTGTGAAAGACTGTGAGAGACGCTCTCAGAGACGCTGAATGACTCTGAGAGACTTGAGAGACAGGTGAGAGACTGAAAATTTTTGTCTAGGGATAGATAGAATACCCCCCGATAATATTGACCTTAACTCCACTAGAATAACATTTACACTAGATTAAACGAGAAATTTTGAAACTAGTTTAATTTAGGTAACATAAGTAGACAAATTTATTTAAATAGAAATTTTATCTGTTATAATTAGCTACTCGACAAGTGGGAAATCAACATAGATACTGTATTAGTAATAGCCAATTAATTTCAAAAATTGCCACGAAATTTAATATGTTCTTGTAAACCATTCAAGAATAACGTTCGCATTAGTCCTACATAAAATTTCCCACTGCATAGTTACATCTAATATAGTATCTACATTTTTCACACCAAAATAATTTAACTGAAACGTACCTATATTATTATTGATATTATTTTTCGTTGCTACTAAACAAAATTCCTTTTAAATGTTGTATGAAAGCGAAAACAAGATTTGTCTAACTCTCTGATAATGCTCTTTCAACTTTCAGACTTATTATCGTCTTTCCATTTTTATTCAGTAGTTTTTTCTGTTATTCAAAGTAATCGTCTTACACTTTTTATTTACTTTTTTCCCTATAAACACATCTGCAAATTTTCTAGTTCGGTGCTTTTGTATTGGTTTTATCTCTTAGAGGGAGAGATTTATAGCGGAGCTAGTGGAAAACAGCGCTTGGTGAAGTCTTATTAGAAAAAAGAGGCTTATCAGCTTTCAAAAAGGGTACACTTACCTTGCCGCCAGGTCCTTGTGAACAACGCCCACAGACTCCAAATACTTCATGCCAGAAGCTACTTGGGTTGCCATGTAGATCAGACAACCATAACTGAAACAAAATAATAATAATAATTAATAGAATAAAATAATTCGAAGTGGTCTGTATTCTGTCGAAACTACCAGACGCGGATCGCGATTTCGATCTTTTTGGATCTCATCAGCGCGTTGCAGGCAGCTCCGACAAAACACAGACCAACTTTTACCTGCTGTCTTAACAGTGCGTTTTAGAAAATACTACAAATGGCGCAGTAAACGCCATCTGTAGCACGATGCTACATTTTAGGATTACGTATGCTCCAACAAGGTCCACTTGTGTGGATATCTACTTGCTGAAAACGAATCCCGGCGTAGCCAACCTCAACGTGATAGGCACGTTACGTATGCTCCAACAAGGTCCACTTGTGTGGATATCTACTTGCTGAAAACGAATCCCGGCGTAGCCAACCTCAACGTGATAGGCACGTTAGCTTAATCGAATAAAATAATTCGAAGTGGTCTGTATTCTGTCGAAACTGCCAGACGCGACTAGACTAAAATGTAGCATCGTGCTACAGATGGCGTTCACTGCTCCATTTGTAGTATTTTCTAAATCAATTAATAAATTAGCCCCTACTCATTTATTTTTTTTTCTTGTTTCAGATGGGGTGTTACGACATCTTTGGTAAGTACCTTTCAACACACAACTTTTATTCGCAGTTTAGACCTTCGGACGCAAAACAAACGTGCCATCTTATTGATTTTAGTCGAGGTTCACAAAAAAAGAAAAAAGTTTTGGTATGTTCGTTTAGGTTATGGTAGGGTTGGGTTGGGTGACGTTCGTTATCTTTCTTCACTTTGCAAAATTAGTTTGAATAATCCTTAGAAATTTATTTTAGAACAACTAAATGTTGCTTACCTCAATTTGTTCGCGTTGCATGAGACAGGAGTCGTAGTTTCAGCTACGTGCTCTTGTAGGAACTGACACAGGTCCCCCATGTCCCCGTATTCCCGCACGTAATAGATCGGTTCAGTTTGAAGGGACACACCGAGCAGTTCGGCGACGTTGAGATCTTTCAACCGCGACAATTTTCGAATTTCCGCTAAGAACGTAGTTCGCCAACTAGCAGCTTTCAAACAATTCACTATCACTAACCGACAATCACCCGGAACTGCTCTTTCGTCACACGTCAACTCACACAGATGTACCTCTTCATTTTGAGACGCTCCCAGTTTCTCGATTATTCGAAGCTGCTCCCACGGGATCATCGCTACCGGTTCACCGCCATCTTCTTCCGGCGATTCCGTGTCATCAAGATGTTGACTGTCATGACGGCGATCGTTCAGCCGCAGAAGATATTGTGGGTTCATTTGGTAATTTCCAGTGTGCGATAACGAAGGTGAGATTGGTGTCATTGTCTCAGAGGAAAAAAGTCGATTCGATTCTGGATCGAAAGCGTATTTGTCAGGAGGTGGGGGCACAGATGGCGGCCGGGGCAAGATTTCAAGCAGAAGGGGTGGATCTCGGGCAGATGTCAACAGGGGTTTGACCAAAGTAGAGTCGGAAAAGTAGTTATTTTTACTTACAACGTCCGGAATATCTGAAAATTGAGACGTAAAACTAATAACCATCTAATTTATCTGTAGTTCAAAAAATGTTTTCATAAAAATTTTCATTTTTGAGGCAATTTTGAGTTTCTAGCTAAACGCACTCGACACCGACAGATGGAGACATATCTAACGATACATAAAAATTTGTTTGATAAACTCGATGTTGATGTGTGTAATAGTTTTGTTTTTGTTTTTTTTTCTTTCGTGTAGATATCGCTAAGGGATGCTTACGTGCATATTGGACCATGGAATCCCTTTGTTGCGTTGCGAGTATGCTGGAGTTGGAAGCTTCAAAGACATCGCTTGCGCTAAAGTCCTGAAATTATTTCGCCCTTTAACGTTTGAAATTCGCCATTATTCAAAGAATTCACTTACTTTCCTTTCATTCTTGAATCGCGTCTCCCCGTGGGATGGGGGCGTTTGCAGTGCTAATTTCTTAAGCCTTTTGTTCCGATAAATAATAAAAACAATGGCCGCCGTGAGGACCATTATAATGACAACGAGAAAACCAATAACGAAGCCGAGATAATGGCTCGAATCTTTACTCGTTTCGGTTTTTTTGCTCGTCTTCTCGACGTCGCGGAGAATGTTTCGGATATTCGTTGTTTCAATTTGGTCTTTTTGCAAAGGGTACTCCTGTTCCGATTCCTTTGTTTTCACGTCTTTTTCTACGTCTGTGAAATTTCCTGATACGGGAACTATAATTTCGTTAAAAAAAAGAAATAAAATAAAACAAAAACGCTCGCTTTGTAACTTAATCTGTAACGATTTACGAAAGAAAACACTATTAAAAAGTAAAAAATACATAAAGAAAGCGATTTCGCAAAGAATTCAATCACAAAATAAAAATTGACTTTCAATATCGAACTTTGATATTTGAGTAGCAGATTAAAACAGACCGTTTACAGTAAAGTAAGATAATAAGCTTTTAAAAAAAAATCTAAACTAAAAGAATATTGGTAGGAACAAGCTATTCTTGGGGGATGATAGAAAAAGAGAGACAAAGAGGGAAGGGGAATCTAATTTATACATGCATTGTCGAATTTTTATTTACGGGATACATCACCTGAAGTAAAAGAGACTTCGCTTATAAGAATCCACCTGGCAGCGAAATAAAGTTGTACTTTGAGGAGTCTCCCTATGCGATGATGCAACTTAATAGTGACATTCCTGGCATGTTCGAGTATCACGTCTGGCATGTATGAGAAATGCACCGGTTCGGCGCCGAAGACATTTCCACTAACACTAAAGAAAGCTTTTGCATGTGAGAATATCTGGAACATGACGGCACACACATGTATATTGAAAGGGAACAGCGAATTTTAGTTACACATAGTAACCAGTGGCGTGCACACAAACGGACGATCCGGAGGAATGAAAAAACTCCCCCAGGATTTAGATTAACAGAATTTTATACGGTCATACAAATTGAATTTTCGTCGGCTAGAATCCTGACTGAGATCTTTTATGTTCATGAATTCTTTGGTTGAAATTATTTTTCGTCTGCGTGGCGTACACTTTGTTATAATTTTTGCAAAAAAGAGTCCGAGTTCTAATCCTTTTAACAATTAATTTTTTCCGTATTTTGATAAATTTCGAAATCTTTAGTTTTCATTTTCCAGTTTTTCTTTGTCTTGTGTACTCCTTAGGAAACCCTAAACAAAAATTTCCGGTCTTCCTTCAGTCTCTCAGAGTCTTTCAACGTTTCTGAGAGCGTCTCTCACAGTCTTTCACAGTCTCTGTATGAGAGACTCGAACGATATAATTGTTAATTCAGAGATTCGAGTCTCTCACAGAGAGACTGAATGAATACAACTGAAAAATTGAGAGACTCGAGTCTCTCGTAGAAAGACTGGGATCTCTGAAATATGTTGAACTTAGAAATTTCTAACCATGTCTATCGAGACACCACTTATTGAGAGATTCGAGTCTCTCGTTCAGAGATTCGAGTCTCTCGTTCAAAGACTGGATACGAAATGGGGATCTTTCTATGAGCGACTCGAGTCTCTCGTTCAGAGACGCTAAACAGTTTTTTTTGACAGTCTCTTTCAGCGACACCAGAGAGACTCGATAAGAGACGGAGACTCAAGTCTCGCTTTTTGAGACTCTCAGAGACTGAACATTTTTATCTCGCGACCTAACATTACAAAATTTTTTAAAATTTGTGTTTTCTAAATCTCCCCAAAATTGAAATTGTGTGTACGCCACTGGCAGTGGTAGTATCAGTGCTGTGAAGCTTGTGTTAAAGATTAAACGGAAGCCGGAAAATCACCCTACCTGCACTTCTTTGGAGAAAAAGTTGTTGACATGGAAATGGATGGCAGAAAAGTTACGGACCTTATCGAACTCGAAAAGCATCTCCAACGGATGTCCTGCCCATGGGGACGTATCGTTACGCCATCCGACCCATTCATAACCTGATATATCAACGAACTAAATATATACCTACTAATATTTATACATGGTATACCTAGCGACCGGGTTTTATAAATGCTCAGATAAAACTTCGGTTGGCTGATGCCATTTGTTAAATTGTGTTCCGCGAAACATAAAGGCAATCCGTTTGTTTTATACCTATGTAGATAAGAAGTGAAATTTTCAAATTTATCGGCGCGCTTATCGCTACCCAAAATCTACATTTTCTGGCGTTTTGCTCTTTATTATTATAAAATCAAAATTAACCCAGTTCATTTTATCTTACTCCATTCTCTGACATGCCGTGTATGATAAATGGAAGATAAATATTCTGTAGCATGTATAAAACATTGCCAAATAGATTGGACATACAATTTGTAGTGTACCTATATAATATGGTATTAAAAGTAAGAAATATTAGAAAATGGGAAATGTGTTTGTACATATTTTTGCATTGAAAACTACCATTCGTTTGTGGCGTTAAAAATGTTATTTATTACGTAATTTGCTGCATGAAGAAAAATAAATTCTTACGACAACGCAAAAATTACAATTTTCTATTCTAAATGACTGAATTTGCCGTAGAATTATTAGGTAACTTGTAATAATCTCAATTTTGACGTGTTTTTTAAACATTATTTAAAGTTTACTGTCTTTTGGTGGATATTATTTAAATACCAAGAAAACACTAATAACAATTAACAATTTATAACAATAACAAACGAAAACACAAGTGACAAAAAGGCACAAGGAGTGAAACAAACAAACGAGAACAAAGTAACAAAAAGAACAAGATAATACAACAATAACAATAACAATAACAAATACAACAACAATTAACAGAGTAGATAAAAGCAGGAACACTTATAAATGGTAGGAGTAGACGGTAGACGGTAGACTGTGTAAAGATAAAAAAAAAAACTTTCGGGTGTTTCATTCCCACCAGTCAGTAATGCTGGTGGGCGGGCAGTCCCTCCGGACTATGCCGGAAGGTAGGGCGGAAGGCCCTCTTCAGCCTTCTTTCAGGAATCGTGGGAATGGGTGGGTGGTGGTTCGGGTGAGAAAGATGAGACGGACGAAATGAAGACAGAAGAGA